GAGCAGACAGCAGAGCAGACAGCAGAGCAGACAGCCGAGCAGACAGCAGAGCAGACAGCCGAGCAGACAGCCGAGCAGACGGCCGAGCAGACGGCCGAGCAGACGGCCGAGCAGACAGCAGAGCAGACAGCTGAGCAGACAGCAGAGCAGACAGCAGAGCAGACAGCAGAGCAGACGGCCGAGCAGACAGCCGAGCAGACAGCAGAGCAGACAGCAGAGCAGACGGCAGAGCAGACAGCCGAGCAGACAGCAGAGCAGACAGCCGAGCAGACGGCAGAGCAGACGGCAGAGCAGACGGCCGAGCAGACAGCAGAGCAGACAGCTGAGCAGACAGCAGAGCAGACAGCAGAGCAGACAGCAGAGCAGACGGCCGAGCAGACAGCCGAGCAGACAGCAGAGCAGACAGCAGAGCAGACGGCAGAGCAGACAGCCGAGCAGACAGCAGAGCAGACAGCCGAGCAGACGGCAGAGCAGACGGCAGAGCAGACGGCCGAGCAGACAGCAGAGCAGACAGCTGAGCAGACAGCAGAGCAGACAGCTGAGCAGACAGCTGAGCAGACAGCAGAGCAGACAGCTGAGCAGACAGCAGAGCAGACAGGGACACATCAGGGTTTAATGAAGGAAAGATTCATGAGCTTACTGACAAGTCCTCAGAGACACGGTAACGAGTCCTCAGAGACACAGTGACAAGTCCTCAGAGACACGGTAATGAGTCCTCAGGACAGCAGGGACTAAGCTGAGCAGGTCCAGGTGAGGATTCAGGTTCTGATAACTGAGGCATGAGCACAGAGTGAGGAACAGGGCTGACGAGGTGAAGTGGAAACAGGTGAGCAGGTGGGCGGGGACGGTCAGGTGACACCGGAGGAAAAGGGGGTTACTACAGGGCAGCGAGGACTGGCTGGATGTGGGCGTCATGTGACTGGAACAAAAGAGAAAAGTCAGTAAAGAGAAAGAGAAAGGAGTTAGAGGAAGTGGTGATGTGGTCGGAGGGCGGAGAGGAAGACGGGTCGGCTGTAAGAAACCGAGACAGACCAGACAGACCAGACAGACCAGACAGACGGCAGGGTTATTAGAGGTCACTGAAACTGAACTAAACACTGAAACCAGGCGTGAAAAAACATTTCAGTCAGAGACTGTTCTTTATTTATCTAAATCCATGACCGTCCCTCTGCCATAAATTAGTTCTTAGATTTTTTAAGTTTTTCGCTCTTGTCATTCAAACGGTTTATTTTTGGACAAGTTTTAGATGAGACGTAGAATATGACGAAATAATAAAATTTTTTCTAATCAAAGTTTCATCACAAATGATGTGTTCAAGGACTGTCAGAAATTTAACACTCTCCCTGCCAGAGTATTATTTTAAATTTCCAGCCACCACCAGCATTGTGGTCATATTCACTGATCTTTCAGGACCCACAGAATAATTTGTTCTCTGAATATGTAAACAGTATAAACATCAAACTGAAGAAGAGAACTTCTGTTTTTATACACACACAAAAACATTTTATTCTGTCTTATTTCATTTATTTTTATCAACACTTGAATTTGTGCATTTTTCAGGCAAAAAGCTGAGAAAAATATATTTTTGTCAAAGAATGTCTTTTTCAACATAAAATCAATTTCACATTTACATTTTTTTTCTCATTTCCTTACGTCAGTCTGAATTGTATAAATCAAAATCATAATAATAATGAAAATAATATTCTGTGTGATGTTTAGCAGCAGAACACGTTGTCACGTTCAGCGTTCTGTTGTCTCCGTCTCCTCTGTGGTCGTCATGGAGATCCTGTTTCGTCCCACCAAACTCGTTTGTTTCTTTGTTCGATCATTATTCAGAATGGAGTCGGCCTACACTGTCTACACAGCTTTATTTTAACGGTGATCATAGTGGCGGTTGGCACTCATAATGTTCACCATCTTAGCTTAGCGTGCTAGCCTGCTAAACAAAAGCCTGCTGCCCACACAGAGGTCTGACCTCTCCACAGGTGGCTCTGATCTGTGAGCAGCTGTGGACGTGTCGGCCGTCCTCTGGTTTCTGTCCTCTCCTGGTTTCCTCTGATGGTTCTGGAGACAGCTGGAAATATGATGTGTTAACGGCTGTGGGCCTTTAAGCTTTACACGCTGATCAGTCAGCAACAAACCAGAGAACAGCCGGGGCTGATGGGAATATCATTCGTTTATTAAGCAATGAAATACAGATGAAACTCTGAATGTTAGCATGCTAACTTTAGCTAACGTTACAAGCTGTAAAAGCTAAAACACATTGATCTGATGAAGGTGAAAAATGTCATTAAAACACAAATACAGAAAATATGAATCACAGTAGAGACATTTCATTTAAACCCTCGTTACATAGCACAGCTCCAAATCAACTGATAAACATAAGAACAGATTAAAACATGGCGACAACGTGACCGTCATGGCCGACACATCTTTACTGCACGCCGGATGAACCTGGATCCTCATCGTCCCCCTGTGGAGAGAAACACAGAGTTTCAAGGGTTAGTTAATTATCTTTATGTGAATACATCACAATCATCATCATCATCATCATCATTATCTCTGTATGTTGTGTATCATAATTCTAACACACAACATAAAGACTCGTGTGTGTTCTGACCTGTCGCTGGTGAAGTGGAATATTTCTGTTTGTGTGACTATTATTAATTAATTAATTAATTAATTAATTAATTAATTAGTGAAATCAATGTGTTTATAAATGTGGCCAGTGAAGCTCAGTGTGTTCACAGGTTGATCATCATATCTGTGATCCATTGTTTTTGTCTCCTCAAAGACTCCAGGTCAGTGAGATCTGATGCATCAGTGACCTTAGTTTCTCTCATGAGCTGGTGTCAATGCCCCGAGGACATGTAGCAGGAAGAGGTACAGTGTAACTGGATGGACAGACGGACGAGTGTGTGGACAGATGGAAGGAGAGATTTTCTGTTTCCATTTCCTGAAATAAAAATAAAAGAATGACATGAAGTGAGTGTGTGTACAGTTCATCTCTTCTTTTTGTTCCTCTGTCTCATCTGTGTGTGTCCAGCAGGTGTTGGCTCTTTACCTGGATTTCTGCTGCTTCAGGACGCTCGATAAGAGGGAGATTTTCTCCTGCAACATGAAAACATTTCTCTCACTGTTACACATACTTGGTTTCATTTTGTCTGACAGAAACATGTGGATGTATTTACCTGGCTGTCCTGTGGTACAGTCTGTGTCATTCTTCTGTAAAGAGACATTTTCAGAAATAAGAATAAAAATAACTGAAAAGCAATCAAAATCTCATCTGTTTCTGTCCAGCACATCACGAGTTTGTACTAAAAGTGATTAATTAATTAATGTAATTAATTAATACATTTTAAATCAATTAAAATTAATTTGCAACACTTGATCTACTTTTCACAGTTTGGGCTCGTCCTCTAAAACTGGAGGAAACTGTGCCAGAAAAAATATGTATAGTCAGTAAAGCAGATTTTATTGTGAAGGCACTAACTGGCCGACTCATGAGATCAGACACAGACCCGTACTCTGTCATGGCCATTGTTGTTGCTGTTGCTAGGGGTATTTTCTTTCTTATTCGTATTCGTCAGGTCTTCCTGCTGTTGCTGAGAAAGTCTTGGTTCAGGAGATTCCTTTAGCACATCTTCAGCAGCACCATACCATTTGTCCCATGTGTTGTTAATGATGATTTCAGTCAACTGGTCTTTTGCTGATTTTGTCAAATTTTCTTTCAGCACATTTTCCTCTTCGTCCAAAAACACACTGTAATATTTAATCTTCATGTTGTAGCGCCTGGATTCTTCAGAGCAGTTCTTTGGTACAAATGATGATATAAAGGCAACCAGCAGGATAGCAAGGAGGATCGACATGCCAGCGATCTGAAGAGAGAGGCAACAAAGATGGTCAGATTATCACCACAGACGCTGAGAAACAGCCATAATAATTTTATTCCATTACAGCTGTAGATCGCGAGTTTCTCAGGAAAACAGACCTCATACACTTCTAACACACCAAATGTACAGTATGAGAATCATTTCCCACAAGGTGTCATTTCTAAAGCCTCTTTTACACTGCCTGCTTAAGGTGGGAATATCACAACATTATTCCACCTCACAGTTCTGTATAAAAAAGTACAATCGTGGAAAAGGGTACAGAGTTGTTTCATCTCTGAGCCGAGGACGAAGGTCGTAACAGAACTGAAATGATGTCTGTATGAAAGGGACAGTTGACAGGACGAGATCAGGACGATGTGTTGTGTCTGGCCCACGGCAGTAGATTAAAAAGCAGCTGATAGCAGTTAGCAGCTAACTCAAAGAAGAACAGCGGCTGTTAGCAGTTAGCGGCAAACTCAAAGAAGAACAGCGGCTGTTAGCAGTTAACAGCTAACTCAAAGAAGAAGAACAGCAGCTGTTGGCAGTTAGCAGCTAACTCAAAGAAGAACAGCAGCTGTTGGCAGTTAGCAGCTAACTCAAAGAAGAAGAACAGCAGCTGTTAGCAGTTAGCAGCTAACTCAAAGAAGAAGAACAGCAGCTGTTGGCAGTTAGCAGCTAACTCAAAGAAGAAGAACAGCAGCTGTTGGCAGTTAGCAGCTAACTCAAAGAAGAAGAACAGCAGCTGTTAGCAGTTAGCAGCTAACTCAAAGAAGAAGAACAGCAGCTGTTAGCAGTTAGCAGCTAATTCACAGAAGAACAAGAGCTGTTAGCAGTTGGCAGCTAACTCAAAGAGAAAGAACAGCAGCTGTTAGCAGTGAGCAGCTAACTCAAAGAAGAACAGCAGCTGCTAGCAGTTAGCAGCTAACTCAAAGAAGAACAGCAGCTGTTAGCAGTTAGCAGCTAACTCAAAGAAGGAGAGCAGCAGCTGTTAGCAGTTAGCAGCTAACAGGAGCTCCTTACCCTCCGAGCAGAGGACGAGATCAGCCGCCATATAACAGGGACGCTAAATGATTGTTATTGACATGTGATGTCATTGTTATTGTTTATAAAGAGCTGCTGACACGTATATGTCACACTAGAGGCAGACGCTGTTGTGTTACATGTCACACCTCTTTCAATTCTGTGATGTCATCATGCTGTCTGACATCACACTCATTAGTTCTGTGTAAACATGTAAATGAGGTGTGATGACAGGACTTGGTCGCCGCTCTTTGGCGCCACCTCTGTGTAAATGGTCTCATGTGTTCCAATTATAATCTACCTCATCAAAACCCTCCTACAACACTCAGTATAAACACTGTGACGCTGCTGCCGTAGTCTTCTCAGGAAATGATGTGTCTGGATAATTATTTTCTGAAGTAAATGGATAAATATCACGTCATCCTGAGGGACTCATCACAACAACACAGAAAATAAACTCATGATGTGGAGATAAATTCTTACAGCCGCAGCTGTTCTCAGCATCACAGTGAGCAGATACTGTGCACACACTGATGACAGAAGACAATCACAGTGAAACGAAGGAATGAGACAGACTGACATGATGTGGACAAACACTCACCAAGGACTCGATTTTCAGTTCAGTGATGGTTGTGTGATCCTCAGCCGTGAGGTTTTGTTGAGGTTTGCAGGCCAACTGTTTACCACTGTTACAGCAAACCCACCAGTCTCCATCGATCAGCACAGAGATGACCCAAATCGAACCTATGAACCCTGCTTTGATGATATAACACAATAAAGCCCAAAAACTACTGAAACAGGCGGAACATTTACAAGCACGGATACAGGTCCAGGTACGGGCACAGGTACGGTCACAGGTACATTTACAGGCACAGGCGTATTTCCAGGCTCTCAGAAACGTCTTGTCCATCCAGAGTTGGACAACAAATATAATAAAGAACGGCATAGCCATGAAGAAATTGCAGCTGCGACCTGGAGCCTCACAATTGCACTTCAAATCCCTGTCGAGCACAACAGTGTGAATAAAAATCACAATGATTGCGACGAAGGTGCCGAGTTTCTTGAGAGCAAAACTTGGAAAGATGCTGTGTTTCATCTTTGCTGCAGAGTCTGTAACTGCTGAGAGCTGCTGCCTGTATCGTCTGAATTTACCAACTGAAACCAACCACACCTTCTGTGTTGACTGAATGCTGCTTTACTGAGAGGGTTTGACTGGAATGTTACAGCAACACATTTCTTCATATATAAAACTGAAACTGACCTCCTCTTTCACAAACAGTTAATGCTGTCAGCTGCATCTATTAAAACTTGAACATGAAAGTTTTTACTTTTCATTTTCTGATCATTTCACAGAGAAAATGAATGCAGAGATCACTGGACACAACACTGCACGATTAATGATTCCCTCCTCAGCACATCTGAGAACAGCTGCAACAATACTTTGTGTTGTTTCAGTGAATTTTAAAAGTGCAGAGCTGATCCATGTGAAGAAGGTGTGAAGTGCAACAATACAGTGCCTACATGCACACACACTGAGTAAGATTCATGTGTAGCACAAGAAGGAAATGACTGGCCTGAGAAAAGAAACCACAAGTGTTCATAGTTTCATGGTGTTGTTGGGTGCTCATTATCTTTTATTGTGCACCTCTAACTCTGCAGCACACACTGTGTGCAAAGCTTTATGTTTTTCACTCCAGGTACCAACATGTTGGTTTGATCAGACCAAACATCTGCTGCTTCACGTCTCATCATGAAAATGATGTCAGCTTGATGAGGTGAAATCCTGATAAACAATTTGTTAAAGAAAAAACGACCACAAAAGCAACAGTGCCGCAGATGTTGGTGGAATTTCCTACAATGATCATTAAATATCATAAACTAAAAACAGACTCGATGCTCTGTCACAGTAACTCGTCCAGTGAAAGCTTCGTCTACACATCAGCCAACACGCCCTTATAAGAGTGAGGACTTCACCATTTGGTTCTTTCTGCTGATTATTCATTTCATTTGATTCTCTCAAAATTATGACCATTCTTATTGAAATACTACAACTTCATTTTTTTTTAATGCAGTGACTTTATACTCTAATATCATTATGTGTTGTTGTAGTAACATTTTTCCCCCTTAAGTTTTAAGCCTTTGTTATTTGATTAATAATTACTTAATTAATTAACAGTGGCCCTCATAGTTTTGCACATAAATGAAGTATACAGGAATAAAGTCTCTAAAATTTGAAATGAGTAGCTAAAAACAGTACTAGGACTACAGTATTACTGTACTGAATTAAATAAACCAACACACACACACACCTAGTGGCTAAGTAAGGCTACTTTGGCGTGGAAGGTCGGATCTCGGTCAGGGCGGGTAACACATATCCAGTCTGGAACCTTAGGCAAAGTCCTTAATGCTGCTAGCCTACTTCAGCTACTTCAGGATGAGTGAAACTGGGAATGGGGCAACCTGATGAGAAATGGTCTACTGGAACAAAACATGGATGGAACTGTTGGAATGCTACTATACGAGTAACCCCAATGAGAGGAGCTACATGCAGAGGATGTGGGATATTTGGATGCTTCGAAATCCAACATCTAGGCTAACAAAGAAACCAGTCCTAGCCCAGTGTTCCAACATCCATAAATGGCAACTGCTGTCACAACTAGAGATTGATGAGGTGCAACAAACATGCTACAGCAAAGGGGAACCAGGACGACAGGTCAAAGTAGGGATGTCATCATCATCCTCACAGATTGGGTACCAAGCCCCAACAAGCCCTTACGACACAGATTCCCTTACAGCAAGGGCGAATGACCTGAGATTGAAAATCATGGACAAACTGGAAGCACAGCAACCCTGAAGCCGATTATCAAGGCTAAGTGACAAAGTACCTTCTGAAAGTCTGAAATTACGACCATTACTGAGACGAATCAGTTGATATACACCACAGCAACAGTGATCCTACAGATGCTTGGCTACAAGATGAACACCATGAGCCACAAAGAGAGCTTCCCTCCATGGAGAAGGAGGCTGGAGGCCAAGATCAAGGCAACACGGAGAGAAGCTAGTCAACTCTCAGAGCTACAGAAAGGTGTGGAGAAGAAAGGGATCCCTAGGAAGTCCAACGAACTGTCTATACCTGAAACACTGGAGACTGCTGGGCAAAGGCTCACAGCTCGGGCTACCCGCCTGAAGAGATGCACAAGAGAAGTAGAAGCCAGAGGAATAAACATGTTCTCCACCAAACCATTTATATATATATGTAAAAGGAGCCGAATGTTTCCTCTTCTGTTCCTGAGATATGACATTAAAACATGATGTCACAGTCAAGCTGACCTTTGACCTTCATTATTTTATTCTGTTAAACATTTATGTTAAGTTTTGTCAGAATTAGTGAATGAATTATTGAATTATGGACTAAAACATGTTTTGTGAGGTCACACTGACCTTTGACCACAAAATTCCAATCAGTTTATTCTTCAGTCCAGGTGGACGTTTGTGTCAAAGTTGAAGAAATTCCCTCAAGCTTTCTTGAAATATTGTGTTGACAAGAATGAGGTGGATGCTGGGTCACAGCGACCTTGACCTTCAACCCCTGAGCACCAAAATCTGATCAGTTCATCATTGAGTCCAAGTGGACGTTTGTGCCAAATTTGGGGAAACTCTCTCAAGATGTTCTTCAGACATCATGGTCATGAGAATGGGACTCATGACGGACAGACCTGAAAACATAATGCCTGAGGCCACGACTAGCACCAACTAAAACCTGGTTACATCAGAAAGGCGCCAGACTGTCTGAGAAGTAATAAATAAAGGTAAATAACAAGTTAAAAGAAATTATGGGATAGTTCTCATTACTTTGAACAGTTTATTTTTTATAGTGTTTTCCACTGTTTACCTTGTTCTCCCTAACATGTATTAGCAGCTGTTAGCTGTATAAGAACAAACTTTTTCACCGACCGTTGTCATCCATCCACTGGTTTTACAGGTAAACATGAAAAAAAAAACTTTGTGTGAATTTTTGTATTTTGAATGGTTTTTATTGCCTGAGTTACCCCCGACAGGGACAAGTTAAATTTCACCAAAATAACAAGAACATTTGTCTCCTGTATAAAATGAGCGAGTCCAGCACATTCATGATCACCTGCACCTGCGTCTGTCTGTTTAATCTTAAAAATTAATTATAATCATCTGACAAAACTAAACTACAACTTATCAGACCTTCAGGAAGGTCACAGCAAAGTTTCCTCTGTATCCTTCCGGTGAGAAAATTACAGGAGTTTAATTGAAACAGTTCTTTCATACTGCAGCTGAGCATCATCCATTAAATTATATATTACTGTATATAAAGCTGTTAATAATCCTGCAACACAAACTGAAAATACAACCAGGACAAAGGCAAAGACAGATGAACGAGGACACGCTGTACAAATAAATACATTCAGCAGAAAACATCTCACTGCAAAGACTACAAACATGGACATTAAGAATGTCACAAAAATAGCTGCTGTGAGGTCATACTGCTCAAACATCAACAAGACCAAACAAATTTAACAACGGTGGAAAACTAAAAAATATCTCACACTGTCTACTATGTTTTATGAATACAAAACATTTTTAAAGCAATCATGTTTGATTTCTAAAGCTGAAAACACCAAAGTCCAATCTAATATTTATCTAATTTTAATTAAAACAGATTTAAAGATTTTAGTTAAATCTTTTGCTTTTTTAAAATATTTTCTGTTAATTTTGTTTTGTACTGTAAAGCATTAATTGAAGAGCAACCTGGTGTAAAAGAGAGCTCTCAGGAACCTTTAAGGGTTCCTTCAAATATTAGCTTGGTTGTTCTACTGAATACTGATGACATTGGGATTCTCTCGAGGACCCAGGATGGTTCCCTGAGGAGCTCCTTCATGAAAGTTTCATGAAACCAGACAGTTTTTCTCAGATTTTCTTTAATTAGTTTCTTTTCTGGGTAAACTGCTGGAGCCCTGTTTGGATTGCACAACAATTTGTCCTCTGTTCATACATAATGATAGAGAGTTTTCAGTATTTCTACAAACTGATGTCACCAGAACAAGTTCTCAATCACACCTGCATAAGTGCCTCTTGTCAGCAGTTGGCTGGATCACCACTGTCTCTTTTTGTTGTGTGTGGGATGGTAACCAATAGAGAAATGCAATGTAATTATTATTTCAGATGACAACATGCTTGTTAGTGTTAAATCATCCAAATCTTTTGGTTCATTTATCAAATTTCAGACAATAAAGAGAGAAATATCTTCTATCACAATAACGAAGGCTCGACAATAAGCAAAAACAACAAACCCAATTTTAGTTTGGGACACTCTGAGTAAGAGAAATACAACAGACTAAGAAAAAAAATCTGCATTTTGAATCTATAATTTTACAATTATAGATTAAATAAATTAGTTCCAGTTATTAAAAACTTTTTGTTTAATCTGAGCCAGTTTCATAAACGATGGTTAAAGTAAAGATTTATTACTGAACTCTGGAAGGTTGATGTATGAGTTTTTGTTGCAGCGTTTTAGTTCATGGTTGGAACATGGTTAAGGGCTCGAACACGACACATTTTTTGCGCCCTTAAATTCATGTTTTCAAAGTAGTAAAGGGCCAACATCTGAGCCCTAAGATAAACAAAGTTCAACTTTTGGACTTAAGCAACACGCACCGGATGTCATGTGACATGGTTATGGTTTCATAACATCTTGCCGGAGGACTACAGTTGCGAATTATCCGGCTGGCTAAAACTGGCACATTTACAGTAATGTTGATTAATGTGTACGGTCCTTTTTTATAAATAAAACAAACTGAAACTGAAACTGAAACAACCAACCACAGCTCGTGGGTAGCCCCCCTTTCTTCTGTAAATATCAGTCTCTGAAGCTCGGGCCACAGCGCCTGCGTGAGCAGCACGTGTGCGTCAAGGTACCTCTTGGGATTTGTTTCTTTTTTTTGGCGGCCATGTTAACACATTAGTGTAGCCACACTGCCTGCACGTGCAGTGCTGCTCAGGCGCAGCGTGGCTGCAATATATCTAGAGAACTGGAGTGTCACCAATTTTTTCTTTTGATGATCATATTGACATGACACCACCTGTCACTACAGTTTCAACATCTGTAAATATCATCGTAGCAGCGCCGCAGCAGAGACACTGTCTTTGTGTTTTTGTGAACACCACAAGTGTGCGAGCTTCAGCAGTTCAGCAAGGTAATCGTCACACGCTGCTCACACAGGCAGTGTAGCCCAGGCCTGATGCATATGGAGAAGCAGTTGATCATTTTAGTGCAGGGTTACACGGAGCTTCACATGTCCCACAGACAATATTCAGTTAAAGGTCAACGTCTGGAGGAAGATCAGCTCTGAACTCAGGGTTTCTGGTATGTAGGCTATGATATGGTGCTGGTTATGGTCGCCAAGCAACTAGTTGGCACAGAAGAGGCACAGCAGCAGCAGCTAGTGCCGGACCTCGTCTTTTCCAGATGGTTGAAAACGCGGCATGTGTTCCAGCCTAAAGGTGGTTCCTCAGGTTTCAGTTTGTTATGAAGCCACAGTGTCTGCAGCCGTGACTTTAATCACATGACCAGCGTTCAGTGGAAACGGCCAACGTCGTGTCATCCTGGAGTTAAACCCTGAGGTGAAGCTTTCGTTCTGAGAGTGTGTGACAGAGTTCAGTGTTCTAACTTGTTGATCCTGCTTAACTTGTTCAGTCCAGCTAACTGCTGAAGAGCTGACTGTGGTTAACACAGAAACTCGTTCTGAGCCAATCAAACCAAAAACACAAACTGAATCCATTAAATCACTCACTCTGCTGATGACTTAGTATTTAAGAGAAAAGACTGAGATCATGAGTCGACGTTTGAAGCTTGAATGTTCATAAAATCTGAGAATATTAAAGTATTTTCCTTTTTGCCCTGAGAATATTTTATCATCATTATTTACAGTACAAGTAAAAGTCCTGCATTCAAAACCTTAATGTGAAAGTATGTGCGTATCAGTAAAATGTAGTTAAAGTAATAACAGACAGAATGTATCAGTAAAACTGCTGCAGTAACGTGTCTGTGTTATTTGGTTTAATCTACAGACATGCGTCAGATCACCTGAAGGCATCAGATAGATGTAGTGGAATAAAAAGTACAGTATTACCTGTGAGATGAAGAGGAGCACAAGTATAAAGATGTTTTCATAGAAACATGATTTCTAAACTTTAAAACCTTTAAAAAGATTCACAGACTCTGCTGTGATCGTCAGTAAAAACAGTCCCCGTCAGAAACGTCCAGGAGAAATCCCCGCCGTGTTCTGCTCTGCCGCTACACTCCGCTGTTCTGCTTTATCCAGCTGCGGTATTTGGTGACTCTGGTGTAGACGCCGGGTTTGTTCCTGCGAGCGCAGCCGTCACCCCAGCTCACCACGCCAGCCAGGAAGACCCGCCCACTGAGGCCGGTGACGGACAGCGGGCCGCCGGAGTCGCCCTGAGAGGATCAGAGAGGAGAGTTAGAGCAGAGACGATCAGAGCTGCGAGCTTCAGACGGGCGCTCTGAATACGAGGGGTGGATCTGACTCAGAGACGATGGTGACGCCTCGCAGACAGCCTGTTGCTCAAAGAGGCCCCGTCCTTAATTATATAAGTCTTAATAAAATGTTAACATGTGAGTTCTATAAAAGTTGTGATGAACGTTGAAATGATCTGCGGAGACCAAACAGGCTGTAAACATGTTTATTTCTACATGTGAACATGGAGGTCTGTGGGGACTGACTCACTGTTGGAGCCAGCCTCTAGTGGACATTAGAGGAACTGCAGGTTTGGATTCATGTTTCAGCCTCGGAGGATGCCACTTGTGCCAAAATCAGTATGATACACAATCAATCAATCGATCAATACGTAAACACAACAAGTTCAGATTCACGAGATGTGACTGATGGAGCGTTTAATAACGACTGATGTCCTGTGACATCATGTTATCATGAAGGAGGAACACATGTCGCTCTGAGTGTCACTGTGTGTTTGTGTTACCTGACAGGCGTCCACGCCTCCTTTGAGGATTCCGGCGCACAGCATCCTGTCAGTGACCTCATCTTCCATCAGAGTCTTGCACACTGTGCTGTTGATGATCCGAACCTCCGCCTTCTGCAGGATGGTCGCGGCGAGGCCTGACACACAACACGATCACATCTTAACAAACATGTCTGTGACTGAACAGAGATTTAATGTTGATCTGAATCAAAGTAAGTTACAATGAACTACTTTCTACATCCAGGATGAAAGTTTTAATATGATTATAAAGACATGAAATCATGCTAATCCTGTATTGATGCAAACAGTAATCAGATTTTCTTCAGCAAATGTTTCTCTAGTTTAGTTTTTAAAAATATGTCTAAACTTTCAACACTGTAGTGAAGGTTTAATCAGACATTTTAATTATATTTTCCAGACATTTTATCAATTTTTTTTTGACATTTTATCAACATTTTTTATTTATGATTTATCAATATTTTTTCCAGACATTTCATTACCACTTTTCCATTTTTATAACATTTTTTCTGACAATGTATTAATATTTTTCAGATGTTTTTATTAACATTTTTTTGATTACTTATTAATATTTTTCGGACATTTAATTAACATTTTCTCAGACATTTTAGTAATATTTTTTGCACATTTTGTCAACATTTTTCTGAAATTTTATTAAATTATTTTCAGACATTTTATTAATTTTTTCAGATTTTTAATCCACATTTTTACGGACAATTTATTAATAGTTTTAATTAATTTTTTTTCAGTATTTTTTTTTTATATATATATTTTTGGACATTTAAATAAAATTTTAATTTCATTGTGAAGTCTGACTGTTTCATTTCGTCTCTGTCCTGTAAGACAGCCTGAGGTTTGAAATCGTCAAAGTGACCACCTGTCAGTCACACAGCGTGGGCGGGACTTTGACAGTTTGTGAGGGCGTCTCTCTCAGACTGACAACTAAAATCTTTTTCTTCCGTTTTATGTCAAACAAACTCAAAAACATGAGGAGCATCGCTTCCTGTCAACGAGCTGTCAGGTCTCTGTCCTGTGGTGACTCACCTCCCTCTCTGGTGGCGCCCCAGCCGGTGATCCACGCATCTTGGCCTGCTGGGAAGTCGTAGGTGGCGGAGGGCAGACAGATGGGCCAGATGTTCTGGTTGAGGGTGACGTTGGCGTCCAGCTCCATCAGAGCGATGTCGTTGTCGTAGGTGAAGCCGTTGTAGTCCTTGTGAGTGATGATCCGCCTCACGTTCCTCCTCACCGTCCACTCATTGGTCTGACTCTGCACGTGCAGACCCAGCAAGGCCTCCCATTGGTCCGCCTGAGAGTACCTGCAGTGACACACACCGAGAGGTCAGAGGTCAAGTCTGAGAGGTCAGAGGTCACGTCTGAGAGGTCAGAGGTCGAGTCTGCTGGAGGAAGCAGGCAAAAGTTCCAAAAACATTTTAAGACATCAGTTTTCATAAAACAAGAGCGAGTCGAGTCAGTTAATCTAAGGAGGGAGAAACAAAGCATCATGGGAAGTTTCTACAGCCAGGTATATTTAAGGTTTTGTTATGATGTCATGTTTGAAATCACATGTTGAATCCCTCCAGCCTAGAAGAAGAATCTGCGAGCTCGTGTTTAATTAGCTCTGTCAGACGTTTCTGCTGCTCCTCCGCTGTGGACTGACTTCCTGTGCTGGGCCAATCACAGTCATTTATCTAAGAGGGGTCTCAAAGAGCGGCACCAGCCAAGATGGCTGCAGCTGATGTGCAACTTTGTGTTGAAGCTGCTGGATAGGTTATTTTAACTTTAAGCTTTTCTTTAGAAGAAAGATGTGCAGTGTAGGGGTAGATGGATGGATGGATGGATGGATGGATGGATGAGTGGATGGATGAGTGGATGAGTGGATGAGTGGGTTGATAAGTGGGTGATGACACCTGCTGGAAACTAATACATTAACTGATGTCAGGCTGGAATCTCTCGGCCAATCAGAGAATAATCAAAGTGGAAGTAAACACAAAATAAACACTGCATTCCAGCAGAGAGAAATCTGACCTCCTTTGTGTTTAGTTTTTAAATGACATTAATCATAACCTACAAACAGTGTGTGTGTGTGTGTGTGTGTGTGTGTGTGTGTGTGTGTGTGTGTTTACTCTGAGCAGCAGCCAAATAACATTAATACAAGATTCAGTTCACACCTCAGACAGCAGCTGATAAACTGTTAGCACATGTGTATCATAGTGTTGCAGATTCATCAGCTGATCACCACTCATGGCCGCCTCACAGCTCGCAGCTTCACCTCAGCTGTACAGTTTAATAAAGTTATGAAAATGTTTCAACACATTTAAAACAAATATATATCCATAGACTGATAATGAAATGACTTCAGAGAGTCAGCAGGTGGTCTGCTGAACGTCTCTGTGTCTTTACAGCTCCTACTTCTTTGGTCCGCTGTCCTGGACGCAGTGGGCGGCGGTCAGCAGCCAGCGGTTACTCAGCACCGACGCTCCACACACGTGACCCGTTCCCCGGATCTGGAGGCTGACCTGCCAGGGCCACTCCCCCTCCCGGGACGCCTGACCGCCCACGATACGAGAGCTCCGGTACGGCCTCGTCCCGCACTCTGAAAACACACAGACACAAGAATACACACTGACATCACACTGCACTTGGCTCTGTGTGTGTGTGTGTGTGTGTGTGTGTGTGTGTGTGTGTTGAACGTACGGCAGTCGTCCTCATCAGAGCCGTCCTCACAGTCCTGCTCTCCGTCACACTCTGGGTTCAGTTTACTGATGCAGTGTCCGCTCCGACACAGGAAGGTGAACTCTGAACACTTCTGCAGAACCAGAGCTGAAATACACACACACACACAGACACACACACACACACACACACAGACACAGACAGACACAGACACACACACACACACACACACACACACACACACATACATACACACACACATACACAGACACACAGACACACAGACACACACACACTGCGTTACAGCTCACAGAGTTTTCCTTTTACGTCAGTACAAACTGCAGCTGCCCTGCACACAACATCAGGTCATGAACTTTGACCTTGAACCAGTGCACTCTTGTCAGGTGAGCATGACGGACAACAAGCTGATGGACCAGCTGATTAAGGAGGTGAGTTCAGTGTTTGGCGGGAGGCTGGATTCAGAGGGGACTGCGGTGCAGAGACGCAGGCGCAGCGAGGAGCAGACCATCCTCAGCACCTGCAGCCACCGTCTCCACAACATCACAGCAGGACGGAGACGCAGCCGCAGCGATCGGTGTGTTGCAGGACTGAATGCTTCAGAAGATCCTTCATCCCTACGACCACCAGACTCTATAACACCTCCCCCACCAGACACACCTCAGAGGACCTTCAGTCATTTAGGAACTCAAGGACGTTTTACTTTATTTATTTCATCAGCACCTTTTTTATTGTTGTTGTGGTTTTTACTGTAGATTTTATGAGCTACTGAATATTATAACAATTACAGTATCAACCTATCTTTCTATCTTTCACACTGTGTGCTTAACCTGTGTGTACGAACATTTAAGAGGAAATCTGAGATTCAATAATTACGTTTAGCCAACACACACACACATGGTTACGTTTAGCCAACACACACACACACACATGGTTACGTTTAGCCAACACACACACACGTGGTTACGTTTAGCCAACACACACACACACACATGGTTACGTTTAGCCAACACACACACACGTGGTTACGTTTAGCCAACACACACACACGTGGTTACGTTTAGCCGACACACACACGTGGTTACGGGCGGCATGGTGGTGTGGTGGTTAGCACCCTTGCCTCACAGCAAGAGGGTTGCCGGTTCGATCCCGGGCGTGGGAGCCCTTCTGTGTGGAGTTTGCATGTTCTCCCCGTGTCAGCGTGGGTTCTCTCCGGGCACTCCACCTTCCTCCCACAGTCCAAAGACATGCAGGTTAATTGATAACTCTAAATTGTCCGTAGGTGTGAATGTGAGTGTGAATGGTTGTCTGTCTCTATGTGTCAGCCCTGTGATAGTCTGGAGACCTGTCCAGGGTGAACCCTGCCTCTCACCCGGTGTCAGTTGGGATAGGCTCCGCCCCCCCGCGACCCTCAAGAGGATAAAGCGGTTAGAAGACGAATGAATGAAGACACACGTGGTTACATTTAGCCAACACACACACACGTGGTTACGTTTAGCCGACACACACACATGGTTAAGTTTAGCCAACACACACACGTGGTTGAGTTTAGCAAACACACACACATGGTTAAGTTTAGCCAACACACACGTGGTTACGTTTATAATAATAATAATAATAAATTTTATTTGTTAGCGCCTTTCTGAGCACCCAAGGACACCTTACAATAAAAACATACAAAAATACCAGTAATACAACATTAAATTAATTATTAAATAGATAAAATACATGACAGAAAATTAAACCGGATAGGCAAGTCTGAACAGATGGGTTTTAAGCTGTGATTTAAATTGTCCAATGGAGTCAATCTGACGGATATGGGGGGGCAGAGAGTTCCAGAGTCTGGGTGCAGAGCAGCTGAAGGCTCTAACAAACATAGTGGTCAGTTTGAAATTAGGGACAGACAGAAGAGCAGCTGAGCAGGAGCGTAGAGCACGGGTGGGGGTGTAAGGGTGGAGAAGGTCTGACAGGTATTGGGGGGCCAGGTTATGGAGAGCTTTGAATGTGAGGAGAAGGACTTTATATTGGATTCGCTGATGGACAGGTAGCCAGTGGAGCTGAATGAGGATGGGAGTGATGTGTTCGGTGGATTTGGTACGAGTGATGATTCTGGCAGCAGAGTTCTGGATGATTTGGAGACGATGGAGAAGTTTGTTGGGGAGACCAGTGAGGATTGAGTTGCAGTAAAGTGAAGTGACAAGTGCGTGGACCAGGACCTGGGTGTTGTGTTGGGTGAGAGATGGACGGAGTCTGGAGATGTTACGTAAGTGCATGAAGGCAGCACGGGTAATGTTACTGATGTGGGGGGAAAAAGAAAGAACACTGTCCAGTATGACACCGAGGCTTTTGACTTGGGAGGAGATATGGACCGGGTGACCGTCGATGGAAATATTGAAGGGATGAGTGTTGAAGAGTGTGGACCTTGTGCCGACGAGAAGGACTTCGCTTTTATTTCCATTTAGCTTGAGAAAGTTGTTTGTCATCCAGATGTTGATGGCCTGGAGACAGTCAGTGAGGGGGGGGGTGCTTGGTTTAGTGGAGATGTAAAGTTGTGTGTCATCGGCATAACAGTGAAAATGAATTCCAAAGTGACGGAGGATGTCACCAAGGGGGAGGATGTATATGATGAATAGAAGCGGTCCCAGCACTGATCCCTGCGGGACACCATGTGTAATGGATGATGGTTGTGAATGAACATTTTTCCCTTGAACAAACTGTTTCCTGTCAGATAGATATGAAGTGAACCATTGTAATGCAGTACCAGAGACCCCAGTGCCAGCTAGGCGTTCCAGGAGTATGGAGTGGGAGATGGTATCAAAGGCGGCACTGAGGTCGAGGAGGATGAGGATGGTGAGAAGGCCAGAATCTGCTGCCAGGAGGAGGTCATTGGTGATCTTGATTAAGGCTGTTTCTGTGCTGTGTTTTGGGCGGAAACTGGACTGGAATG